CCAATCAATATAACATCTAGAATTTTAAGTCCTGACTATGTGATCATGTAATATCATACTTACATGGCTTCAATTCATCAAAATTTTCACGGTGTTATACTAGTGGCATGAGTGGAGGATTTTTAAACTGATTATAAATTTTCATTTTGGGAAATAAAAAGTTTCTGAAGGAGGAATCTGTTGAATATGTCACAACAGTGTGAATTTAATTAAAGTTGAGGAGGTATGTACTTAATATAATTAAATTTTAATATATTTATTTTGATTTTTTTCTCCAATAAGAAAATAAAACAGATGAACATATAAAATTATACATTATTGTGAGAAAGGATTAGACACACCAGTTATACCTGAGTACAGAAAAGCCCAAACCCTCTTGTGGACACTTATTTTCCTTTTCTTTCTGCTTTTCCTTAGTGTAGAGAAAACCTTAGAGGTTGTGATGGCAGGGACCAATTTCACTAATTATGAACTCTGTGTACTGGGCCTCCAAAGTCATATAGTTGTCAACAATCACCTTGTGCCCCCAGCCCTTCAGTTTGATAACTCCAATCCATTGAGTCCCATACCTGTGTCTGATCTCCCATGGTGGTCTGAACTGGGAAGCTCCTATCTGTCTGCTCTAGTTGAATCCTGAAGACAGAGTCTTAACCTTCATTGGATAGCAGACATAGAAGGATCTTCTGATGTTCTCTTCTTGACTGTTATCCAGGCAGAGAAATAGCATCATTCAGTGAGTTCAGAGGGACCTCATGGACCTAGCAAGGATCCTTGAAAGTATAGTTTCCCTACCTTGAAAGATAAAATGACAATTTGGTAGACAAATGGAAAGATAAAAATATGAATAATATCAGTTATGAGAGATAAAAATTGTGTGTTTTGGGTGCAGTGGGAAAAGCAGAATAATTATTTAAAATTTACTTTCTACACACCATGTTTCTGATTCCCATTGGTGTCTCATCCATAGCAGTAGAAAATGTGTCCTTCTGTAGTGTTTCCTAAGCACTGTGAAAGAACAGGTAAGGTGATGATAAGGATGTAGAGGACAGTGAGTCTATCATTATGAACTAGTACTGAGGGATTCCGGGACTCCAGGCCTGAGCATCGTGTTCTATGAAGCTCATTTAATTTCATTGTTTTTGTCTTCCTGGCATTTTGAGTGCTTACATTGTTATTCTGTATCTAAGTTACTTTTTTCCTATTTCCATAGCAGCACATTTTATTTTTTTCTGTGTGCACTTACATGCATGTTTGTATAGGAATCATATGCTGTCTTTTACATCTGATCCCCCAGAGCCTATACCTTATTTGGTACAGAGCAGGCATCAGAACTAAAAAGCTCTGTAAAACATTGAGAAGATTCTTCCACATGTCACAATAATTATCCTTACTCAGCATGACATAAACCTGCATGGTAAGTTCCTCTCTGGATGTTCCTTTTTTCCTTGAATATCCCATAGATATAGAGACTATAAAGTTAGTTCTTGTTTGTGTCCGTTTCATAGTCACATAGGTCCAACAATTCATTTGTTTGCATAAATATCCATGATTCAAAAACATGGCAGAGATAAACATGGGTTTTTTAAAGCAGAAATAGAAGGAAGAATGTGAATAGATGCCTCATGCTGAAATGTGTTACAAAGCTTCATATCAGTCCAGGTTCCTGCACCTTTTGAATACAGTTAACTGTATTTATCAATACCATTTTCATTGAATAAGGAAGAAAGTCCTTATTTTAAAAGCAAAACTTTGCATTCTCAATTTCCAATCTTCTTCAGTTGTTGCACGTGTGGAAATGGATGATGTTCTCTTTGTTTTCCTTATATAGTGTGAACACAGAGAGGAGCAGACATTAATACACAGTCTGCCTATGGAGTAGGTCAGTGATGCAGGACTAAATTCTAATTTCCCAAGTCCCACTTCCCAGTAAGCAGTCTCCCCCCCTGAGGTGAAAGTGTCATGTTATTCTCTATATGATGATGGAATTTCTTTGTGTCTTGTCTCAATGAGATCATTGCTGAACAGTCTGCAGGTGTATTTTGAAGCTATTTCTCAAGAATGAGTTAATGTAAGAGATAATGACTGATGCTTTTGGAAAAAAATGTATATGTGTTATTTGTTGGAAATCAGAGAAGCATATCCCATCAATATTTTCATAAAGATTTTCAATTGTATTTTAGGGAAAGATATCAAAAAATTTGGCATGCTAATAAACTTTCAATTGAAATGAAGAATCTACAGGTAATTGTTTGCATTACTTGAAGAAAATTTAAAACTTTCTGTATATGCAGTCTGCTTTCTTTCTTAAAATGAGCTTTAGGCAATTTTAGGCAATTTTGAAAGAAAACTATGGATTCCAAAATAAATGTGAACCTAAATCCCTCAATAGGAAAGGAGATACATGAAATTCATGAAAATATTTCCTTGGAGGACAGCTTAACAATTAATGAAATTATAAAGAAGGGCAACAATTCTAATTTCATAGGTAATTATCAGTCTCTCAAAACTAGTTATATCAGTATCTATGTGTTATTATTTCTAGAGGCAATATGGATGAAGCATTTCTTGAATGCAAGAAAATATTATAAGATGGTAGTTACAAAATCTGGTGTATGAAGTTAAACAAAAGCTCAAAATCTGATTAAAGTGATTGGTCTGAGTCTGGAGTGTCAAAGTATTTAAAAGTTATCTATTTATTTCTTTGTTTTTATAACTTCTGTATCTAATGTTTCCAGAATTATATTGAACAGCATTTTGACATTCGACATCTGTGTCTTGTTCCTGATTTTATAATGAAGGATTTTATGTTTGACCACTTAATATGATATTGGCTGTTGGTTTTTCACAGATGAGTTTTATCAGATTGAGCTTGTGAACATCTATTCCAATTTTCTGTAGGATTTTTACCATGATTTTTTTTATTTTGTTAAAGGCATTTTCTGCTATCTATCATCTATCTCTCTATGGATCACTACTGATGAAAATTGAATATTTTTAAATTTTTCACACAGCAAACCTAGAAGTTTGGTGAATATTATTCTCATTTTATAGATAAGGATGAATTAATTTACTTACAGATTTTTTCACTATGTTATATATAATTCTCTTGTACATGAGTTTTCAGATGTGTTATAAAATTTTGTGTACTCTTTTAAATGTTTCCAAATTTTAAGGGGGTAACAAAGTAACCTAATTTCCTCTGTGTAGCTAAAATAACAAAAATAAAAATCACAAATCAGGAAAGATTGAGGTGGAAAATCTGTTCATCAGATATAGCACGGCTTGAAATCATTTGGACCTTTGCACTTTCCTGATTTCTAATGTTTACCAAAGGATGTAAGAGGATGCTATTATAGAATATATAATTTTTAAAAGAAGAAAATGATATCCTACATAGGAGGTATTGTAGTGATATTTTATGGGGCAAAGTAAGCCTATATAAAATTTCAAATGCTGGATGTGTTTCTTACAATTTATTATTTTAATCATCATCAAGTATGGTATGCACCGATGTCACATTCACAGTTATTGTGTCATAAGATTGCATTAGGACCAGTTTTTTACCAGTTTGCATTCACTATAGTAAAGCAAGGAGTTAGTTATTAAATAAGTTGAATATAACAAAGCCTGAGTGAACACTTACATTCTTGGAAGATGGAAATTAGAAAATCAAAGAATGTTGAAAAATTCCTGAGAAATAACTGGCTGAGTACAAGTACTATGCATTTTGATTATGAAATATTAACTTTATTTGAATATTCAGATCATGAATTCCTAGATGTTACAGTGAGTATAGATATCCTAGCTTAAGAGAAATTGTCCACATTTCAGACAATAGAATTAGGCAAATTTAAAAGTTTATTGATTTTTCTTCAGTATAATCATATATCAAATTGTAATCAAATTTTCCAATTTCTAAGTAGATTTTATGCATTTCATTTTACCAATTTTTATTGCGTTTTTTACTTTGGGAATCAAAATTTTTGAAATTTTAAAAAAGTTTTTTTGATACAATTTAAATATGCATAAAGATCACATTCTTCATAAAGAATGTGTATCTGTACATGATATATTTTGATTCCTCTTTTTCTCATGAGTTAAGTGAACATAAAATAAAAATACTGAGACAAAATCATTATTCAAATATGATTTTCTCTTCACTAGTAAATAATTATCCAATCTATAATTATTAATAAACTATTGGAGATTTTAATATACAGATAGAAAAATATAAATCTGTTTGGTACATAGGAGCAAGAAAATGCATAGATATATAATTAAAAAGCAAAAAAGAAGATAGAGAAGTAAAAAAAAGTAGAGAGAAGTTCAAATAATTCTGCAAATTCTCTATTTCATTGTCCCAATACTATTTTGTTACATTCACTCATCTGTTACATTTATACTACTGCTTTCTCTCAGTATATTGAATATAAAATTTTGTGCTATGATCTATTTGTTTTATTTTGTAAGGGAGAGTCATTTTTGTCTATGAATTATATTCTGACTAACATTTGTGCCCTTCTTTTAAGACTGTGGTAAACCATATATTTACTGAGGTTATTCTCTAAATATTTTGCAATGAAATTTTGTTTTATTTTTCATGGAAACCAGAAGAATAGTTTTAAAATGTCACATATTCTTATTTTTAAAGTTTTTATTTATTTATTTATTTTTTAGTATCTTAATCTCAAATGTTCTCACCTTCGCACTAGTGTCTATAAAGTGAGAGTGCCCAGAGAGGTGGAAAACAATGATCCTATACTGAAAGAGTTCCTGCGAATGGAGCTTGTCACAATGGACAACTATGTTTTAAGGTCTATAGATCTCATGTGTCTATATTTTGCTTGTGAATACTTGAATTTATTACAGAAAGTCTTGTTTGCTATTTATTCATTTCATTTTTTCCAGTGATTTTTCTGAAAATATGTTCAACCAGTATGGAAATACATAATGTAACATACATCTTTGAATTTTATCTCGCTGGTTTCTCATAGGATCCAAACCTGCATCCCATCCTCTTTGGACTCTTTCTGTTCATGTACCTAGTCATAGTGCTTGGTAACCTGATCATCATCCTGGCTTTTATCTCTCACTCCCACCTCCACAGCCCCATGTACTTCTTTCTTTCCAACTTGTCCTTGGCTGACATCTGTTTCACCTCCACCACAGTCCCAAAGATGATTGTGGACATTCTAACTCACAGTAGGATCATCTCCTATGTGGGCTGCCTGACACAGATGTCTTTTGTTTCAATTTTTGGATGTATGGATGACATGCTTCTGACAGTGATGGCCTATGACCAGTTTCTGGCCATCTGCCACCCTCTGCACTATGCAGTCATTATGAATCCTTGCCTCTGTGTCTTACTACTTTTTGTGTGTTTCTTTCTTAGTCTTTTTGACTCCCAGCTACAAAATGTGACTGCCTTGAAATGTACTTGCTTGGGGATGTGGAAATTGCTAATTTTTTCTGCCATCCTATTCAGCTATTTAACCTTTCATGTTCTGATACCTTGATAAAAAACTTTGTCATGTATTTGGTTGGTACCATATTTGGCTTTATTCCAATGTTAGGGATACTATTTTCTTATTATAAAATTGTTTCCTCCATTCTAAATATGCCATCAGCAGGTGGGAGTCACAAAGCCTTCTCTACCTGTAGTTCCCACCTGTCAGTTGTTTGCTTATTTTATGGGAGTGGTATCGGTGTGCACCTTGGTTCAGCTGAGTCATATTCTTCCAGGAGGGGTGTGGTGACCTCATTGATGTACACAGTGGTAACCCCTATGCTGAACCCCTTCATCTACAGCCTGAGGAACAGGGACATCAGTAGCACTCTGAAGAGGCTCCACTGTTGTAGAGTCTAATCTCAGGTTGTTTGGCATCCACCTGGGATGTCATTTTGAAAATGTAGTGAAATTTAATATCCATAACTCACCAGTAAACACTTATTTCTCATATGATCTCTGAAGAATGATGTTTTCAATTACCTTCTAGAGGTTCACATAAGAATCAGGGGTGAGGCCTGCCTGCCTGCGATCACCCGGCGGTGTGCACACGAGCTCCCGGCCTGCGTGCGAGCTCCCGGCCTGCGCAACAACAGACCCAGGAAGGCCCCAAAGACCCCGGAGGGGGTTTCTTCAGCTGCCTGCCTACCTGCTATCACCCAGCGGTGGGTGAGGGAGCTCCCGGCCTGCGCGTGAGCTCCCTGCCTGTGCGACAACAGACCCAGGAAGGAAGGTATCCCCGCGGGCGCCCTTGAAAAACCCACATGACACCCCACCCCCGTTCTCAAAGCTCCTGATCGGGCCAGTCCTTAGACCAACTCTGCAGAGGCATAGGTTCCCATGAAGGGTAGCTTTCTGAGCTCCCAACTTTGAACATCTTTAAAGAAAGGGCAGGGGAAACCTGTAATAGAACTGAGTGGAGTTCAACCCTGAGGGTAAGGAAATTAAAGTTAGGCCTTGTAGATTGTGTTCAGTCTCAGTTGTGAGGAACAGCCATTGGCTAGCTAAGACCAGGGGATTGGGTTCCGCATACGGCTGTGCATGTGGCATAATATGAGATCAGAGATAGCCTGAAAGAGGACCTTCATATTATTTTTCTTTCTCTCTCTCTTTTATCTTTTTTTCTCATTCCACCCTAAAATTTCTTTCTTTTTTCTGTCCTATCTCTCCAACTCAGTCTCTTGCTCCACCATATTGTCCCTCATCTCCCTTTGTATTCCAGCTCCTGAATAACTCAGACTTCTTCCTTTATTATATTTTGTTTTTAGGAGGGGTTTCTCTTTATGTTCTTTTCTCCAGTCATTTTACCTCACTCATGGCACTGTACCTTCAAGGGAAGGCAAATGCCTGTTACTGTTAAGGGGATACATTCCTGCCCTTATTCCTGCACTCTCTCTATCCCCCCTAAAGTTAATAGCTTTGTAAAGATAGTAAGGTAATTCTACAACCTCTGGATTCACTTCAAACCTGCTCTAATTCTTTCACTTACCTAATCTTCTCGTTCTAAGTCGAACCCCCATCCTAAATGGTAAAGATGCCATATTGAAAAGCATATTCACTGCAAACATACTATGGGCTGCTTCTTGAAATTAAGTTAATTCACATGAGTTAAAGGTGATATATTAATGACTACAACAAGTGGTCAGTTTGCAAGCTGTGCCTGATCCTATTGGGCTGCTGAATGTATCAATTGGGACAAAGAGTAGCGTTTGATTTAAAGAGTTGTTTTCTCTGATATTATGAAAATGAGGATGTCTATGAGTCATTAGAAACTCAAAAGCTAAAATGCAACTATATTAGGAAGATTTAAGTAATACCCAGAAACTAAAGAAGGACAACCCAACAATAACAATAAAAATGAGAAAACACTTAAGCAAGACACAAAAACAGATTTCCAGTTCACCAATAGCAAATAGTAGGACAAATGAGGATGAAAAGTCTGACAGTGAACCAACAGGACTCCCTGGACCCATAGCACAGGAGGTAACAAAACTGATCAATCAGGCTCTAGAAAAATTCAAATCAGAAATAATTTCC